GGAAGGATGACCAGACAACTAGAAAACGATTAAAAAGGATGAATAAAATGTAAAATCCTATCAGACCTCTTTCAAAATTCGAATCTCCAGCAGAACAGCTTCCATCGATTCTTTGTCTTTAGTCAACTGTCTTTTCAGTGCATACCACTTGTTGGAACTATCATTCGCAGCAAACACTACAGCAAAACCTCCTAAAAATGGTTGTTTTAAAATATAACTATTAACGTATGAGAAAAATTAGATAATCGTCAAAAAATACCTTCGGCAATTAAACTAGCCACACGCAGACGGATTGAGCCAACTTCTAGCTGTGTGCCGATGAGTGGATGTGACGAATTTGATGTGCTTTCGCCTTGTATCAAATTTAGAGCTCCACGAAACAGACCCGACATAACGAGGAAATTTGGAATTTAAGAAGGCCTACAATCCTGCTCTGCTCTGAAAAGCTTTCTGTGACTAAAGAAGCAAAACACATCTGAAGGTCATTAATTTGATAACTATGCTTATTGCGATTTTCGAACTCCATGTCGCGGATGCGAACATAGTATATCGAGATAAAGATATAAAAGCGAATTTTTTTTCAAATAAAGAATATAGATAACCAAAGAATGGGACTTTTGAAGAGGAAGAAAAATTGAGTATGAAAAGCATAAATGTACTATTCACTCAAGCACTTAGAACAAGGTAGATGTACTCAGGAATATTGACCTGGGTAGGGCAAACTACAGGGCACCTAAAAACTAAAATTGTTGGAACGAACTCCATAAGCACAGCTCTACTCCACAAATCTACATTACTAGATGATTGATAAAAGTACTAGAACAGCAGATTCTGCAATGACCAATCCTGCACCAGACGGTATACCGTATGCATGTAATAAGCCGAGATGGAGTGGTAGTACAGTTTTTCAGTTCTAGAGATTCCACAGTTTGCAGCACTGATTGAATTCTACATCTTAATAACCTTTTGGCAAAACCTACATCTAGCTTCATGTCACAAAACGAGCATTATTTATGCAGTTGAGCAGAGACTATCCAACAACTTTGGACCAAAACAAAACAAGACTACATTTGAACAGAGTCCCAGACAATTAACAGGGGATACCAATATTTGCTAAATAAGTGGAAAGATTGAAACATGGTCACAAGAAACTATATCTTACGATCTAGAATGTAAAAAGTTACCAAGCTGTTATCGGAACCTTTAGAAATCCTTCTTCGAAATAAGACTTCTAAAGATTCGCAAAGCAGCAAAGGCCCCGCATTGGCGCAGTGAATTCCACTCAAAATGTGGTTTACGGTTATGACTCATCAGATTGAAATGATACACTACAAGAGAGGCTGTAAACGCATCTGAAAACTGCTCTGTTCTCAGTCCAAAGTCGGTTGATAAATGCAACGTAAGACCATCATATAGCATCCGTACTCGTGTTATTGATTCTTTCATTCATTGCACTACACGTGTGGCAGAAGACGCGCAACTACCATCAATGCGAAGGGATATTGAGCGAATACCCCAGAGAACACCGTTGAAACGATGTAGCGCTACAGGCACTCTAAATAGTTGCTTATCCGTTATACCAGGAGGGACTGGAACAAAAACTTATCAAGAGTACAGTGGCAGCATATTCATTTCCCAGCTTATTTTCGGCTGAGTTAGGAAACCATCTAATCTAGGGAGTATTACATTGAATGATAACGCACCTTGAGAAAGCCACATGTTCAATCATTTTTTTAATTAAATAAGCACTCATTGCAGAAATAACGAGAAATGCATCACCATGGAAATCTGATAACAAGAAGTTCGCGTGACTCAACAGAGTGTATTAAAACAGAAACACAGAAATATGAAAGGAACAGCAAATTCAACAGAATGGCAACAAACTCAACAAGCAGCAGATGCGAACATGAAACAACGGAACATTCAATAGTCTTCAAAATGATTAAGCCGCTCCAAGATAAGTTGACCATTTGAACAACCGATTCCGAGGTATGCACTGTGGGGTGAAAATTCAACGCATTCGATATTTGTCATCTGTGTACATTCAAATAAGATAAAGTTTGACTATTGGAGAAACAATACCTTCTCGTGTTTTTTTGGAAAATTGTTGAACACAGTACCGCTTGCGACATGTAACAATTTGAGTTGATTTTGCTATAACACACAGATGGTATTAAGTGCATGTTTGTACTGACTGAATCAAATCACCTTTACATTACTGCTGATAGCCATTAACTGGGAATCATTGTTGAAAGCAATGGAGTCACATGATGTAACCAAATTTGAAACAACAGTTCGTGGTTTTGGATCTCTTGCTTTACGTGCATCCGGCACATCATACACATTTACGATGCCGGTAGTTGACCTAATTTGTCCACATCAAGTAAGAGATGTAAGGAAGAGGATAACACATACCCACAAGCCACCTTACTACCATCCGCATTTAGTCTAATTTTCGTCCCGCGTACAGCTCCGTCGTCCTGGAACAAATGTTGCGTTCCTTGAAGGTTCCAAATGACGACATCACTCCCTTCTGAAAAAGATGTTTCACTTAAGACGTCAAAATATCATCGACGTCAGATTCCCACCATTGTTCTGTGATTACACAAGATCGCATGTGGCCCTAATGCAACAAGTCCTCGATCGGTGTGGATGGGGTATTTTTTTTGTTGTTTCCCACAAATAAGCGGTTTTTGTGTTCAGAACACTCCTCAGGTTTACAAATGTTTTTTCAAGCTTGAAAAAGCTGATCAAACAGCCTAAGCTCGAGCAACCAAAAGCTTAGAGAGTGAGCAAGACGAATTAACTTACAAAAGGAATTTAGAAATTGAGCTGAATTCTGACCAAAATTGGTGTCTGCCTACAACGCTGAACACACGCACAGTTGACCGATTCCAGAATTGCAATCGCAAATTGTTTTTATCAAACACAAAACTGTTTATCTTGAGAAACAACAAGGAACAAACCGAAAACTCACCACACAAATCGAAGGGTACGTGCGGTCACATCCAGGATGTTGTGCCATCAGGATTACAAAGAATTTCGATTTGTAGTGGTGCCACGTAATTTAAAATTGTCTTGAACTACAACTGATTACAAGCACAAAAGTACTCGCATTTGTTAAAAGTAAGTATAAGTTTCTTAAGCGACGGGTTGATCAAAATTTTGATAAAATTCGACAAGTATTTGATAAAATCCTTATGGGTCTTCGCCCTTCCAGTTCAAGTGGTACAACTACAGCAAAATCTACTTCAGCATATATGTAGCAAGCTGTAGATTTACTCGTATTCAAAACGCAATTACACAGACCTGTCATAGCCCATAGCTCACGATTTGAATCTGGTAAAAACTGTAATGATGTAACGTCTGTAGGAGCCGTGAGTATCTTCACCAATTCCATTGACTATATTGAAAACTTTGATTTATTTGATGAAAAGAATCAAATGATGCAACTCACTGACGATGAAAGAACAAAAACTTGCGAGCTGTGAGCAATCATAGCCACTAGGGAGCCATCATACGAAACGGTGAAACGACCAACATTTTGAGGAGGTACACCTAGACTGAAAAGGTCTTCACCAAAAAGTAATGATGATAAAGTATGCAACTGCAAAGTCTAACACAACGAAAACTTGCATTTAGGAAGGTTTAGTTGCATGACAGAGCCTTTCTCAAGATCATATTTCATGAAGTAATCCTGTGAAAAAAAAATAGCCATAAACATTCGTACGTAGAGGTAAAACGGTTTAACATACTTGTCGCATTGAACCACAGAGCACTGCACATCCATTCTGAATGAAACTCATGCTGTTTATCGGAAAATTAGAGAAGTGCATGTTTTGTAAGAAATTTCCAGAGTCCATTATATCACCAACCTAAAAATACATCCATGACCTATTAAAAATAATGAGGATGTAACAGAAATAAACGATATCTACCTTGAACAGCTGCACTTTTCCTGAGCTTCCTCCAGTTATTACAACTGGTCTCACCTTATGGAACAAGATGACATTGACTGGCCGCTGTAAAAACTGTCTATTTCATGTTTATAAATAGTATGATTTGAGTGGTGAGCTGCTGCGCTAGTGAATGATACTAGGGAATAAGAACAAGTTGAGTTCACTAGGAAGAAAACACT